TAGGTGATAAATTACTAGATAATTGAAATTCAAGATAAAACTATAAAAATATTTAAAGATTATAGTTATATATTGAAGCTACAGATGGATGGATGGACAGATGGGTGAATAAACAGGTGGATGGGTGGGAGGATATATAGGTAGATTAATGAAGGGCTAGATGAATAAACAGAGATTAATATAAATACTGGTCTATATTTGAAAGATAGTGAGTAATTTAGCACTCACTCCAGAAAGATTTTCTTATTATTATTACTAAGACTTAATATGTTATAAAATGTACACAAAGGAAAATCCTGCTTTTCTTCTCTCTTTTACTAAAAGAAATGTTCAGAGGAAAAGCATTTTCTGTTCGTGAATCTTGAGGAGTTGGGAAGGAGCAAGGTCAGGTAGCCAGAAGAACTATCTTTCTATTTGTTAATTATCTTTCAAATTTCAAAGTCCATAATCTATAAATGGTCAACTCCTAAGTAAGAGTCACATTTTCAGGATGAAAGAATCCCATGTGGACCCCTCCAGACCCCATCATTCCCAGAGGCCCTGATTCAGTTCAGGATAGTAGAAGTTGTGGTCATGACAGGCTTGCTTATGAACTGTCCACATTTGATAATCCTAAAATAGAAATATATTTGACTATCCCCTTCAGTTAATGCCACAAAGCAAATGATCCTATCATAAAATTATTTGAGGAAAACAATCAGAAAAAGATTACAAAGATACCCCAAAAGACAAAGACACCCCCTCCTCATATTTTATGCAAAGTCCTCAGCTCACCAAAGACCTGAAGCACTTGTCAAGTTCTGAAAGCAGAACCCAGCCCCAGCAAGGATAGAAAACCTAGTGTGAAGTTCAAGTTTCACTCCTGAAGATCTGATTCTCCTCCTTATGCTTTCCTCCCCTCCATCTGCTTTGAAATGAGCAAACTTCTTCAGCCACCTTTCCTTTCTTCAGGCTGCTTGTGAGCCTGGGACCTACAGCCCAGCCAACTTTGCAGAAAACCACAGTTTAGATGGAAAATCACTTTGGGTTTCTGGCTCCTCAGCAGTACTGCACATCTAATTAGCTCAACAATTGGTCCCTGTGATAAAATCAGCTAATTTTATGTTCAAATGGCTGCTCTGTGGTAAGCAATACTGTCACTCTAAACTCCGCATAGAAGGAAGCTGCTGAAGAAGCTGGTTACTAGGGGTCACTGGGGGCAAACTAGGAAAGACTATCAAATTAGTAACCTAAGTCAATGTTAGTTAGTGCACGGGGTCTCACCAGGCTCAGAGAAGAAGAATCCCCAGAATGGAGTGACAGGGGCAGAAGTGCCAACCGTTTATGGGAAAACAGGACATATAAAAAAGATGAAACGAGTTGTCTGCTCAATGTCCCTGCTCCTAGACATAAATCTAAATGTGTTTGATAAGATTATGCAGTTCTAGACCCTAATCTGCTAGTGTTAAGCGATGACTCCCCTTGGATTAATGCCATTGCTGTTTTAGGAACTTGTTCAAGGTCATCCTAGACAAAAAGCACTGGAAAGCCAACCCAGGGGAACCAGTCAGCTTAACCTAAATTGAGAAATCCACTAGAAAACACATCACAATTTTTAAGGTAAATCTCAAAGAAAAGATCAAACTTCTTCATGGTAGAAAAGTCTTTATCCACTTCTTTTGCCTTCTTTCACAGGCAAATCATTGATTTCCCCCTTTTTTGGTATGTATATTATCAATTATGCTAATGGAATGAACAGTTAGAAATTCATACAAGTTTCAAAAAGTAGAAGCAATGCCTGAGAAATACATGAATGCTTATAATTTTATATAAAGATATGGAGAGATACACACCTATGTCTAAGCTTATCTATTGTATCTATGTAGATGGATAGATAAGTAAATACTTATCTATAGATGACATCATTTACATAAAATGCTTGAAAACAGTCATTAGTATTCAATAAATACTCAGTTGTTCTGCTCGGTGGACGCTCCACCACTTGAGCCATCCCCCCAGCCCTTTTTGCTTTAGGTATTTTTCAGATAAGGTCTCGTGGTTTTCGCCTGTGGTCAACCTTGGACCTTGATCCTTCTACCTATGCCTCTGGAGTATCAGATGGCTGGTGTGAACCACCACGCCTAGCTTGTGTTGAGATGGGATCTCACTTTTTTTTTTTTTTTTTTTGGTTAGACTGGCCTCATGCCATGATCCTCCCAATTTCCCCAGTGGGATTACAGGTGTACACCACCATCAGCTTGGATATCAGCTTTCTAAAATCAACATGGGTTCTACTTAAAGCTAAGATTAAGAAACCATATTGGGGTAAAAGTGGAAAATGAGGTATAAGGCTTTTCATCACATGGAGGGCACTGACATTTTGAACTCAAAATCTTTATTATAAACACCATGATATCATCTCATTTTGAGATAATCTAGAGGGAAGTTAATATCCTTCCACTGTTAGTGTTGTTAGTGCTGTGTAAGATCGAATCATTGCATTAGGTAATTTATATACAGCATGAATCATGAGTGACTTTCAGTATTCATTGCAAACATTGCCTTTCCAGTGCAATGCAGTAGCATTAAACAGAAATAGGCCTACTTTTTAAATTCTTGCTCGGGGTTGGGACTCATGGCAGCACAGCATCCTCTATCCATCTCTCAAATGTTCATGTTTCTCAGGACCCAATTTATACCTGCTTCTCTCATCGTTTATCACTTTTCCTAAGTGGCCTTATTAGAATCTAGGGTTTCATTCACCAAGCATCCCTTGATAGCCCCACTAATAATAAGGGTTCCCATTTACTGAGCACTTACTGTGCTCTACGCCCTGTGTTTCACATTCATTAACCCAGTTAGAAGTCACAATCCTCATGGGTTCCTCAAGGAACCCATGCCTCCTCCCAGCAACCACTTGGATGCCCACATGATGGGTGCATCAAACTCCATATTTTCAGCCTGCCTTCCACACATGTCTACTTCTACTCCTCTGTGCCTTTGAACAGATCATCACTACCCAGGCACCTGCAAGTCCCTCCGGATCCCTCCCTCTCATTGGCTCTCCACTTCCAATCAAAGTCTAAGTTCTATGAGTCCTACTTCCTAAATATCTTTTCATTCCATTCAAATTTCTGCCCTTCTAGACAAAGCTTCTGGCATTTATGCTCTGGAGTCCTGCACCGTTGCCCAACTTACCTCCCTGTACCTGGTCTTATTTCTCCTTAACTCCAGTTATTCTGCTGTCACAGCTTTGTGTCTTTGAGGATCTTTGCTCAAAGTGAACCTGTTCCCCTTGGTTCACTTGAGTTAAATAAGATATATGGCTTTCTATGAGTCAGGCATGTGACAAGTCACACAGATGACATGTGAATTGACAACTTGATGTTAGAGCTCTATGTATAACCACACTTACTTGCCCAAGCATGCCTACCACAGTTAGAAAAGTCAAGATGTAAAAGGGATAGAAGAAAGGAGAATTTATAGGTAGAAGCTTTTTAGAATGGAAATATAAATGGACTCTACTCCAAAACTGAGCAGATTAAAGCAACAAACACTTATTATCTCACACAGTTTTCATAGCACAGTTTGCTGGGTACTGCTGGCTTAAGGTCTTTCATGATATTGTAATCAAATTGTCAGCTGGGATTGTGGTCTCATCTGAAGACTTGACTGGGGTTGAAGGGCTTCTAAGCTCACTCACTCATGCAGCTCTTGGCAGGTCTTTGTCCTTTGCCACTGAGCCTTTAAGCAGGGCTGCCTCACAACATGACAGCTGGCCTCCCTAGAACAAGTGATCCCAGAGAAAAACAGGCAGGGAAGCTCCCAAAATGGAAGTCACAATCTAATCTCAGAAGTGACATCTTATCACTTCTTCCATTGAATAGAAGTGAGTCACTAAATCCAGCCCATGCTCAAGGAGGGGGGATTTCACATAGGAGAAGCCACTGGAGGCTGTGCTGCAGGCTGCCTACTGTTACTAACCAAGTAGATATCTCAGCCTTGGAGCAGGGAAGTGCAGGCCTCTCAGCATCTCCCTCAGCCTAGTCTGTTTATCAGAGTCAGCTGACCATAAACTGCATGCCTGCTAATTGCTCATTAGCAGGTGCTCTCTTGTCCCTCCTCTTCCTCACTGTCTCCTCTGTGCCAGCATGGGAGCTGTTCCATGTCTGCTGCTTTACATAATTCTCAAACAGATCAGCATTATAGTACATAATAGCTCTATTGATAAATGTCGATACACATCAGAAAATATAATAATTAAAGTTTAAGCATTAGCACAAAGCTCTAAAAATAAAAGCAATTCTAGTCTTTTTTTAAAAAAAGAAAATCTCTACTGGAGAAGATTTTTTAAAAATGTTGCACAAGTTAAAGTGGAAATAATTATTTCATGATATAATGTACGTATTTTTTATTATAATCAAGTTTACTTTTACCGGCAAGAGAGAGTGTATTGTGCGTTAAATTGTCACCCTCATGGAATCTTGGAGCCTTGAGCGCTCAGAATGTGACCTTATTTGAAGATAGGGTTTTCACAGAAGCAATCAAGTTAGGTGAAGTCATTAGGATTAGGACTGGAGTCATTATAAAAACTGGAAATTCGGAAAGTCATAGAAAGGGAAGAATGCACCCAGAGAGGAGGTCATCTGCAAACCAAGGACAGAGGTCTTTCCCTCACAGCCCTTAGGAAGAGCCCACCCTGCAGCACTTCGATTTTAGACTCCAGAACCTTGAGACAGTAAATCTGTTGGTTAGAGATTCATACAGAGAGAGGTGAAGATAAAAGGACAGAGACAGCTACAGAGATAGAGAAAGACTGTATTTTAACAAGCTACTCACTCATCTAGATGAGCTGATCTTAAAGAGAAATACACAAGGACCCATTCTTAAAATCCCGTTGCATACATTTCTTGGGTACAATGGTTTTACTCCTGGCGTTGACAAGTTCCTTAAGATATGTAAATGGATACAGACTGGCTAGAATCCCAGCAGCCCAGTGGTGGGAACCTGGGAGCCCCTACCTTCTGGTAGTCCTCCTTGGACCTCAAGGCTGCCTCCATCTGTGTGGCAGAGGTCGCATAGATGGCCGAGCGGTACTGGGTGCCGTGGTCATTGCCTTGGCGCATGCCTGGGAGTGGAGAAGAGGGAGAATTTAGAGGTTGACGGTGCAACTGTGTTGGTATCCACCTGGGCAAATGCCAGGGCATGTAGGCACTTTTTCAGTATCTATGACTGATGTGTTCCCAAGTGCTTGCTTTAATTTTATCTTGACATCACTTTCTTGAAACAAGCATGAAATATATCAGTTTTGATTTATCTGTTTTAACAAATATCTTTCAAATATCTTTGAACTTAGGTACATTTACCACAAGTCTTGGATCATACTAGATGCCCCATAAATAAACATTTTATATGCAACTATTTAAAGAATAATCTATCTCAATTACCACATGTAAAGTACTGTGATACACATTACTTCCTCAGATCCTAACGAGACACCCTGTGTGGAAGGAGTTATTCCTCACTTGGCAGGCAAAGAAACAGGCACCTGCCATAGTGAGTAGCACTTAGGAAGAGTCCATACCAATGAAAAGGTCATATAGTTGGTCAAAGGAAATCCTGGGGCTTAATGTTAGAAAGAGCACTTCACCCTATTGTGACAGGTTATGGAGGGGATGGTGGTCAGTTTCTAACTGACCATAGTCACCAGGAGAAACAGCCACAGGCATATAGGAAATCCTTTGTAGAGCCCTGTGTCACGGTCAAAAGGAACTTCACACAGTTTATTGCATAACTCATGAATCAGTTTCCATTTTGACAAGGGCTCCAAATGGCCCCAGCAGGGAATCCACCTTCCCTAAAGAGCACAGTGTATTTTCAAACATGACTGTGCATGCAAGCCACCCGGGGGTCTGGCTAAGATGCAGGCTGTGGTCCAGAGGGTCCATAGGCTGAGAACCTACATTTCTCCTGCACTCAGGTCACCAGATCACACTTTGAATGGCAAGGGTTTAAAGTTTGCTGGATACTCTCAAGTTTCCTTATTTATCCCCCAGCAAGATGTCTAAACTTCCAATGCTGTGATGAGGAAGTCAGTCTTCCCAGTGCACCTCCCTGGGGGGGATTTTCTGTTTTTGTCAGTGTGAATACACTGTAGTTATAGACACTTAGCAGCATTCAACTTTATCTAGTTTTCAACCTCCATTGGTTTCTGTTAGAACCCCAATAATAACTCACAGGTGAGGAACAGCTGTTTGCTAAGCCTCTTGCAGGAGGCCTAGCACTTTGAGCAATCAGACCGTGTTTTGGGTCTGACTCTGTCACCCACTTGCTTCACACAAATTACCTAGTGTTTCTCAGCCTCAAACTTCATTTGTAAAACAGGGATGATGAGGGTCTCAGGAGAGGTTTGTTGCAAGGAGTAAAAGAGATGAACCCTAGAAAGTACTTTGTTGACTGTAAATTATTATGCAGATGTTAAGAACTTTTATTTATTTTTTTTACAAGTCTTACTAATCTGGGAACACATCAGAACAACTTGTTTGACATAAAAATACTGAACGACATCACACAAGATACTTTAGAAGACTTTTTTTCTTCTTTCCTTGTAAAGGATTATTATTGGTTTCCAACTTTCAGATACCCACATGGCAGAGGTTGCAGAGATAAATCCAAACAGTGGATCAAAATTTGTCTTATATGGTTAGAAAAACACCGTTTAATTTTAATTATTTGTTACATTTTTTAGCAGAATTGCCTTCCTGGTTAAATTTGGACACTGCTAATCTTCAGTCTAGTTCTCCATTTCAATGGAAAAGAACCCAAGGGAAGGAAAGCACTCTTGGATTGAATTTTCCTACCCCTGTTGTTTCCAAGACTACATCCTCCCTTCTGGTCTCTGATCTCAAGTTTAGGAAATTTAGGCCTATGGACATTATTTTTATGTGTCTGTGGTACTGGGGTTTGAACTCAGGGTCTCATGCTTGCTAGGCAGGTGCTCTACCACTTGAGCCATTCAGACAACCTATGAACATTATCTTGTATTCCCTGAACACACACCCAGTGGAATACTGTAAAGAGGGAAAGAAGACAAAATTAGCATTTACAATGGCTGGAAAGTCCTTCTTAGTACCTGTCTCCCTCTCTTCCATTGATCCATCCATCCTCTCCATCTCAGGCAAGGGACTAGGTACTGGGATTCAGAAATAAAAACAGAGCATTATTTTTCAACAAGTCATACTCCTGGGACAGAAAGGGAAAATAGAGACCAATACGCATTATCAATATTAAAGGCATTATGGGAAAAATCTGTGCAGGTTAGAGAAATCCAGTGGGCTCCACTGCCCCCTCGGCAGTGGGAAGGGGCCTGAGACTGAAAGGCTGCAAAGAGGATGTGACTCTGGTCTTGAAGGAGCAGCAAGTGGGCAGATTCCCCAGAAGGCAGAAGAACAAGCTAAGAGTGAATTATGGGGCAGAATGGTGCCTGAGGAACTTGGGAGGAGTTGGTACTGCTTGCAGAGTCTGGTGTCTGGCTTCTCAGGATGGATGAGCCCTTCATCACCAAGCTCAGAGTCCAGATGACAAAGACAGTTCACAGAGAAACAATACCTGATGCTCAACAGACTGAAAACCCAGATGAGAAAACCAACATCCAGTAGCTGTCGGAAATACAAGAAGTGATCCTGCCTGCCCACTGAGTCACAGAACAAATGAAATGCTGACTACCACCAATTGACCTAAACAGCCCTTATGATGCTGGTCCCCAAAGGGCAAAATTAGCCAAAATTTGCCTTGAAAAAGGACACAAAAATGTCATTGAAAGATGAAATAACCCCTATGTCTTTTTTTCTTCTACAAACATGTTCTTTGCAACAAAAAGCATTCAGACAATGCCAACTGTATACTCAACACCACGAAAGCTCCAGAAGAATTAGGTTATAATCCTTGATCTCAGGGGGAAAAAAGAGGGAGGGAAAAGAACAGCAATGAGCTCACCACTGTACCTCACTGTGCTTGGTCTCTGCCAGCACCTGCTTCTCATTGAATCCTGCCTGAGGTCACACAGCAGGTAAATGGCTGTCCTATGATCTAAACCTTGATCTGTCTGACACAAGATCTTTCTCCTTTGAAAATGAATACACAAGATGTTCCAGCAAAACAATCAAAAATAGTGAACAGAGTGCCCCTGTATAGGGTGTGTCAGGCTGGGGGAGTACATCATGGCCTGGGGCACAGAAACGAGAACAGGCTTCATATATTCTGAGGACTGTGCAGAGACAGGACTGATCTTGCCAAGGGACCTAGTAGGAAAGGAAGCTGGTCAGTTAAGTGTGAAGCCACACAGGTTATCCTGACGAGTCCCACCAAGAACCAGACACATGGACAGATCTGTCTCCAGGGAGCCACCACCCTGGGAGTCGTCATCGTCAATTACCCCAGCTCCACAAGTGTTGCAAAGCTCACTGTACCCTCCACTTGGCTGTGGGAAAAGTAAGCAGATAAATCATTCCCATTATTTGCTGTCTTCACGTCCAGGGCTTGCTGGGGAAGGTGAAAAGGAAACATGGGCTTAGAAATCACATCCTGTGTTAACATTCTTCCTGAACACTCTGCACTGATTAATGAAGACCGGGCTTTGGGGCTGCCTGGCCGAGAACTGAGCTCGTGGCATCCACCAACTGTCTGAGGTTTCTCCATTCACCTTCTCCTGAGATGATTTTCAAGGGACAAGCCATTCCGAGGCTGCTTTAAGATGTCGCTTCCTCTCAGTGGAGCTAGAAAAAGCACTGGAAAACAGAGAAACACTTAATCTACAATGAAGTGCAAAGGTGAATGAAATCACATCTGCTCAAAGGGCCTTCTAAACCTCAGTGCATCTTTGGGTACCGACCTGTCATAGACACGATGACGGGAGACGTGGGGAATGTGAGTGAATGTGGGAACCTTAAAGGGAAGTTCATGCTCGAGCTGTTGCCGGTGACTATTTTTCCAGTTCCCCGAGTGGCCACCTGATTGTGAAACTCAGGGCAAGCAAGGACACATTAATAAGGGGCTGAAGTCACAGACTCTCTCCTGGGGACTTCAGGGAGCAATCTCATTAGTCAGGACTAGCCATGCTGGCTGCAGGTACTAAGAGACTCCCTCCAGGATGAACTCCACATTCTTCTCTTCTGTAAACTGCTGCTAAGAAAAACTGGATGCTAGGCTGGTGACGTAATTTAGTAGCAGCTTATCCAGCATAAGCAAAGGCCTGGGTTGAATTCCCAGCACTGTGAACAATCAAAAAATAAATAAGAACAAAGAAAAATAACTGGGTGCTGGCCCACGGTTGTTGTGTGGAGAACAGCAATAAGTATGGGTTTTGTCTTGCAAAATTTCTGGGTCTAATTCCAGCCCTGCTGTTTACCAGTTAAACCAATCTTGACCTTCAGTTTCCTGCACAGAGCTCACAGGGTTGTCCAAAATCTCATATGGAGCTCAGTGAACATCTCCCTCCCATTGCCTTAAGATTTCTAATGAACATATTCAAGGAAGAGATTTTTTTTTCAACATACTACTTAATTACAAAATTTCCTAGTCAACAAAATTCAGAGACCACTCCCAGTCTATGAAATTTTCTAGGATTTCATTAAATAAAAACTAACAAGCTTGATCCCAATCTCAGAAAATATCTAGAACTTATTATCAAATAGAAAAGAAGGCACAGAAGCAAGATAGAATCATCAAGGTCAAATGCAGATTCATTCAGAACTCATGCCTCTTGACCTTTCTGGTCTCTGTCATCATCCTTACCAGGAAGGATTTAGTTAGATCTTTTGAAAAGCAATGTTATTGAGATATAATTGACAAACAATTTAATTGTATGTGTTAGAGGGTACAATCTGATTAGTTGTGACAAGTATATATACCATGAGAACATCACTGCACTCAAGAAAAAGAACACCCTAAAGTTTCTGTACCTCCTTCACACTCTGTCTGATTCCATCTTCCAAACTTCTAAGCAAAGACTGACTTATGTTCTGTCATTATAGATTAATTGGCATTTTCCAAAAGGTTATAAAAATGGAATCATACAGAACGTATGTATTCTTTTGAGTTTCTTTCAGACCAAAGTATTTTGAAACTTAA